TTTTGATAGTCACTGAAATATGAGAATATAACCCTGCAAATTATAGTAAAATGGGATAAAGTAGTAATTTTGCTTTGATGTCATTTATTAAACTTTTTTTTTTTTTTTTTTTTTTTTTTTTTTTTTTGCTGTTGTTGTTGTTGGGTCTTGCCTCATAGTTCAGGCTAGCCTTGAACTCACTATGTAGCCCCAGGCTGGTCTCAAACTCACAGCAATCCTCCTCCATCAACCTCCAGTGTTGGGTATTACAAACATGTTCTGGGCGGGGTATGGTGGTGCATGCCTGTAATCCCAGCACTCAGAGGCTGAGGCAGGAGGATCAATGCAAGTCTGAAACCAACCTTGGGCTACAAACTGAGCTCAAGGTCAGCCTGAGCTGCATATCAACACTCTGCCAAAAAAAAAAAAATTTGGCCAGGAAGATAGCCCAGGGGCATAAGCACCTGCCTGGCAAGCATAAGGTCCTGAGTTCAATCCCCGGTACAAAAAAAAAACCACCAACATGCACCACCATGCCCAGTTTAACTATTATTATTTAACTTATAATATGTATTGTATATATTACACATATTATATGTACAATACATATACATATATACACACTATATATTATACATATTAAACTGAGTAAACACCACAGAATACCATAAGACACTGAAAATTTGGACCACAGAAATTGCTATCTGATGATACTTTATATTTCTACAGTTCCTCTTTGTTTCATCATACTACTGTACTCTTTTTAACTTCACTATAAATTCCCAAATGTAAGAAACTATGCCTGCTGTCTTATATTCCTCTTCATAACAAAAATCTGAGCAATAAAGGCCTGCTAGCTAATGGATGGAATTTATTTTGATAACACTGAAGCTCTTGGGAAGTCAACTGGATATATTCTTTTTGATAATCTTTTGTATAATTTTAAACTACTCTGCTTTCTGCTATATTCACTTGGCAGTGATAGTATGCCTTGATTCTAAACTATAAATTGTCCCTGATCATTGCTACTGTTCTCCTGAAACCATATAAGTCACTTCACCCTTGTCTACTTAATCAGCAGAATGATCACTTGCTAAATATGAAGACCTAGAAGGTACATATACTGAACAAGAATCAATACTCTGGATAAGAATATAAAAACAGCAACAGGGACAGGCATGATGGTGTGCATGCCTGTAATCCCAGAAATCAGGAGTCTGAGGTGGGAGGATCACTGTGATTTTGAGGCTGGCCTGGGCTACAACATGAATTTAAAGGCCAGTTTAAGGCCAGCCTGAAATGCATAGTGAAATCCTGTCTAGGACAAAACAAACAAATAACCAGCAACATAGTATATCTTTAAAAACTTGATTTAATCAAATTATTTAAATATTTAAGAAAAATTTGTTAAAT